CGCTTACTGGGCCAATGCTCCTAACTGCCAGGCTACCTGCCGGCCCACTGTCACTGACAATGAGGTACCGTCACCCCTCACTCACTGGGTGAAATGTGTGTGTGTGTGTGTATGTGTATGTTTATGCAGTGAGGGGAAAAAAGTATTTGATCCCCTGCTGATTTTGTACGTTTGCCCACTGACAAAGACATGATCAGTCTATAATTTTAATGGTAGGTTTATTTGAACAGTGAGAGACAGAATAACAACAACAAAAATCCAGAAAAACGCATGTCAAAAATGTTATGAATTGATTTGCATTTTAATGAGGGAAATAAGTATTTGACTCCTCTGCAAAACATGACTTAGTACTTGGTTGCAAAACCCTTGTTGGCAATCAGAGGTCAGATGTTTCTTGTAGTTGGCCACCAGGTTTGCACACATCTCAGGAGGGATTTTGTCCCACTCCTCTTTGCAGATCTTCTCCAAGTCATTAAGGTTTCGAGCCTGACGTTTGGCAACTCGAACATTCAGCTCCCTCCACAGATTTTCTATGGGATTAAGGTCTGGAGACTGGCTAGGCCACTCCAGGACCTTAATGTGCTTCTTCTTGAGCCACTCCATTGTTGCCTTGGCCGTGTGTTTTGGCTCATTGTCATGCTGGAATACCCATCCACGATCCATTTTCAATGCCCTGGCTGAGGGAAGGAGGTTCTCAACCAAGATTTGACGGTACATGGCCCCGTCCATTGTCCCTTTGATGCGGTGAAGTTGTCCTGTCCCCTTAGCAGAAAAACACCCCCAAAGCATAATGTTTCCACCTCCATGTTTGACGGTGGGGATGGTGTTCTTGGGGTCATAGGCAGCATTCCTCCTCCTCCAAACACGGCGAGTTGAGTTGATGCCAAAGAGCTCGATTTTGGTCTCATCTGACCACAACACTTTCACCCAGTTCTCCTCTGAATCATTCAGATGTTCATTGGCAAACTTCAGACGGGCCTGTATATGTGCTTTCTTGAGCAGGGGGACCTTGCGGGCGCTGCAGGATTTCAGTCCTTCACGGCGTAGTGTGTTACCAATTGTTTTCCTGGTGACTATGGTCCCAGCTGCCTTGAGATCATTGACAAGATCCTCCCGTGTAGTTCTGGGCTGATTCCTCACCGTTCTCATGATCATTGGAACTCCACGAGGTGAGATCTTGCATGGAGCCCCAGGCCGAGGGAGATTGACAGTTATTTTGTGTTTCTTCTATTTGCGAATAATCACACCAACTGTTGTCACCTTCTCACCAAGCTGCTTGGCAATGGTCTTGTAGCCCATTCCAGCCTTGTATAGGTCTACAATCTTGTCCTTGACATCCTTGGAGAGCTCTTTGGTCTTGGCCATGGTGGAGAGTTTGGAATCTGATTGATTGATTGCTGGTGTGGACAGGTGTCTTTTATACAGGTAACAAACTGAGATTAGGAGCACTCCCTTTGAGTGTGCTCCTAATCTCAGCTCGTTACCTGTATAAAAGACACCTGGGAGCCAGAAATCTTTCTGATTGAGAGGGGGTCAAATACTTATTTCCCTCATTAAAATGCAAATCAATTTATAACATTTTTGACATGTGTTTTTCTGGATTATTTTGTTGTTATTCTGTCTCTCACTGTTTAAATAAACCTACCATTAAAATTATGGACTGATAATTTCTTTGTCAGTGGGCAAACGTACAAAATCAGCAGGGGATCAAATACTTTTTTCCCTCACTGTATGTTAGTTTACCTGCTAATGGACTAGGTTGACATACTACCGTACTACTAACATACAAAACAAATAGCAATATTGATTCATCAAATGGCTCCAGACCACTGTGGTGTTTTGGAACTGGTCATGATGTGGTCCTCTGTAGCTCAGCTGGTAGAGCACGGCGCTTGTAACGCCAAGGTAGTGGGTTCGATCCCCGGGACCACCATACACAAAAATGTATGCACGCATGACTGTAAGTCGCGTTGGATAAAAGCGTCTGCTAAATGGCATATTATTATTATTATTATTATTATTATTATGATTTACACAATGGCTTATTTGTGTTTGAATAACAAACAGCAGGGATTAACAAACAGCAGGGAAGGAGGATCTGACAAATGGAAATCCCCAGTCATTGGCTGTTATTTTCAAATATTTGTGTAGGCTATGTTCAAGAGAAACCTAATATTCTTACATACGTGGAGAACACAAACAGTTTGTTTTATTTTGATTGAAATGATATTCAGGGAAAGCATGGTGTTCTTTAACTAATGTGTGGGTCACTCTAATAGAAAGGAAGCTCTTTTACATAGCCTTATCCCCCACTTTTGTTGGCCTGTTGTCCCCTGAACCTAAAACACTTGTGATGCATACTATAAAGTGACATGACAATAATTTTTTTGTAAATAGCTGTTTTGAAGAAAAAAAATACATTTAGTATACGCTCTTATCCAGAGCAACTTACAGTTAGTGAGTGCATACATTATTTTTAAAAAATTTTCATACTGGCCCCCCGTGGGAATCGAACCCACAACCCTGGCGTTGCAAACGCCATGCTCTACCAACCGAGCTACATCCCTGCCGGCCATTCCCTCCCCTACCCTGGACCAATTGTGGGTCTCCCGGTCGCGGCCGGCTATGACAGAGCCTGGATTCGAACCAGGATCTCTAGTGGCACAGCTACTAGTGGCACAGACCCCTGCGCCACTCGGGAGACGAGTTTTTACTCTGAAGGTTACAACCATGTAGGACTAAGTTCTCTGAAAGTTCAATCAAATGCACCATATCCAAACATTTTGGGAATTGTAATGATTTTTAAATGTTTTCAACTATTTGTAATTTTTTCTGTATTTGGTAGATGTGTTTTTGTAGCATTCAGATTGTTAATGCTCGGTCTCTCAACCATGGAGCTACAGTGGCAGCGTCAAGTGACATTGAGCTGTATTGTAGGATTGAGCTCTCATTCAGTCCCCTCATCTCTCACTCATTCTGCCTGTGGGGTAATAGGAATATACTATAGCACTGGTGATGAAGCCCAGCCTGTTCTTTTCTCTGATTGGCTTATTCTCAAAGTGACATATACAGTGGGGAGAACAAGTATTTGATACACTGCTGATTTTGCAGGTTTTCCTACTTACAAAGCATGTAGAGGTCTGTAATTTTTTATTATAGGTACACTTCAACTGTGAGAGACGGAATCTAAAACAAAAATCCAGAAAATCACATTATATGATTTTTAAGTAATTCATTTGCATTTTATTGCATGACATAAGTATTTGATCACCTACCAACCAGTAAGAATTCCGGCTCTCACAGACCTGTTAGTTTTTCTTTAAGAAGCCCTCCTGTTCTCCACTCATTACCTGTATTAACTGCACCTGTTTGAACTCGTTACCTGTATAAAAGACACCTGTCCACACACTCAATCAAACAGACTCCAACCTCTCCACAATGGCCAAGACCAGAGAGCTGTGTAAGGACATCAGGGATACAATTGTAGACCTGCACAAGGCTGGGATGTGCTACAGGACAATAGGCAAGCAGCTTGGTGAGAAGGCAACAACTGTTGGCGCAATTATTAGAAAATGGAAGAAGTTCAATCACCCTCGGTCTGGGGCTCCATGCAAGATCTCACCTCGTGGGTGTTTGCCAATGACCATCTGGATGATCCAGAGGAGGAATGGGAGAAGGTCATGTGGTCTGATGAGACAAAAATAGAGCTTTTTGGTCTAAACTCCACTCGCCGTGTTTGGAGGAAGAAGAAGGATGAGTACAACCCCAAGAACACTATCCCAACCGTGAAGCATGGAGGTGGAAACATCATTCTTTGGGGATGCTTTTCTGCAAATGGGACAGGACGACTGCACCGTATTGAGGGGAGGATGGATGGGGCCATGTATCGCGAGATCTTGGCCAACAACCTCCTTCCCTCAGTAAGAGCATTGAAGATGGGTCGTGGCTGGGTCTTCCAGCATGACAACGACCCGAAACACACAGCCAGGGCAACTAAGGAGTGGCTCCGTAAGAACCATCTCAAGGTCCTGGAGTGGCCTAGCCAGTCTCCAGACCTGAACCCAATAGAAAATCTTTGGAGGGAGCTGAAAGTCCTTATTGCCCAGCGACAGCCCCGAAACCTGAAGGATCTGGAGAAGGTCTGTATGGAGGAGTGGGCCAAAATCCCTGCTGCAGTGTGTGCAAACCTGGTCAAGACCTACAGGAAACGTATGATCTCTGTAATTGCAAACAAAGGTTTCTGTACCAAATATTAAGTTCTGCTTTTCTGATGTATCGAATACTTATGTCATGCAATAAAATGCAAATTAATAACTTAAAAATCATAAAATGTGATTTTCTGGATTTTTGTTTTAGATTCCGTCTCTCACAGTTGAAGTGTACCTATGATAATAATTACAGACCTCTACATGCTTTGTAAGTAGGAAAACCTGCAAAATCGGCAGTGTATCAAATACTTGTTCTCCCCACTGTAAATCCAGCAGTGATTACACAATGCTCCACCCACTTTCGCTCGCTCTCTCTCTCTTTCTCTCCCCCCATGGCTGTATTCACTCTGGGTTTTGTCTGTGCACCAGTGACAGTATCAGTGCGACATAGGGAGGAGAGGAGTAACTCAGCCACACATCTCACCTGCATAAATGCACACAGTCAAGCCAGATCTTCGAGGAAGAATCTCGTTTAGACATGATCAGCACAGTATTAAGGACAAAATTCTGTGGCACTGTAATTGAAAGGAATGCTCAACTACTTTTTGTTCAATTTTTTCCTTTCAGATCTTTGCATTCTTAGTGGATTCTACCTGCTGCTTTTGTTGGCTTGTTTTGTTTTACATGCGGCTTTGATTTTTAACGATGCAAGCAGCAGTGCTGAGTACAGGCTAGCTCTGAGCTGCTCCGAGTTGACCTCTGTGCGCTTGCTCTGTCAGTCCTCCACGTAGGCATCACATCAGCTGTTCTCTGAGAAAACGGGGGGAATTTCCCTTTTATTACCCACCCACCATGCCATCCAGGGAGTTGTACATAGTCAGGGAGGGGAAGAAGTCTCTGGTACACAAGGCTAAGAAGGAGGGGGCGCAGCATGACATTCTGGCCACAGCACTGGGTTTGAGAATGGTGTCAGGGACCCAGAAGCCCCCTGCCACCTTCTGGCAACCTCTCAAACTGTTTGCCTATTCACAGCTCACCTCGCTGGTCCGTCGAGCCACCCTGAAGGAGAACGACCACGCGACCAAGTATGAGAAAGTCCACAATTTCAAGGTAAGACCTGACTCTGCCTGCTCAGCGCTTCTTACTTTTCCTTATCTGCTGTCCCCTTTTCACTGCCTTTATGATGGTTATGTAACATTTGAAGTTGTTTGATTGGCGTAATTTACGTTTTTGGAATGTGCAGAGGGGGAGAAAATTGGCTGTTTGTAAAAAAAAAAAAAAGAATCTCTGATGGGCTTCCGACTAGTGAGCAGCATTTTGAGTAGTCATATGATGGAGAAGGGGGGATTGCAGTAGTCCTCAGCAACTGATAGTGTAGTCTGACTGGCTACTGGACCTGTCGTGGGTAGCTCATATAAACGGGGAGAGGGCGAGGTAGCAAAGCTACCTGACAACACAACACAGCCCTTATGCCCATTCTGCCCAGCCAGACGCTTGGGGACTCAGCCTCATCTTGCTAACCACGCCTCTTACCAGTCAAACACAACCACCATCTTCTCCTAAAATACTCTCAGCCAACAGCCAGTTATTATTTCACTAGAGCATGAGACATAAAGTGAAAATCTGAAATATTGCGTATCCGTTGTTTCATAAATGCAATGAATATAATGGATTAATATGTTCTATTCATAAAAGCACAAAAAAGTGTCATTTAAAAAGGTATAGCCATTTAACAATCATTATTTTTGTTTTGTAAGATATTTATTTTTAAACCAAGACGGCAATAACACCAGTCATTAGGTTCTCTCATTTGTTGTTTGTCTTGGGCTTACATAGTCTCTGTCATTTGCACAAGATGCCTATCCTCCACTTTCCCATTCCCAAAATAATCTAAAACAACAAGGGGTCTGATTTATTTTTTTGGGTAATCATATATCTCCTCGAAATCTTATGAGTCCACAATGCTTTTCACTGGAGATAAATGTTGACCATTTCTGATGTGGTCCCTTTTAGATATCAGTGATAATCCTGGCATTGTGTCAACCATGGTACACACACACACACACAAACAAACAAACAAACAAACACACACACACCACCTCTACTCTCCAACCCCAATTAAGGCCTGCCAGTCTGCTTTCTAGCGCTGGTTATCTCTCTCACAGGGATAATTCCCCAATTGGCTCCTTCAGAGCCAGGGGAAAGTCTGTCCATCTATCCTTCCATCCAGTAAAAAGGTGACCATGTTGTCCATCCTCTCTTCCTCTCCCCTGCAGGTGCACACCTTCCGGGGACCCCACTGGTGTGAATATTGTGCCAACTTCATGTGGGGCCTCATCGCTCAGGGAGTTAAATGTGCAGGTAAAGGGAGGGTGGGAAGCAAACTGTGATCTCTGCTTTGTGTTTTGTCTTTTTACACACAGCTAGTTTGAACCCGGTTTCGAGGAGACATCATATCCAGCACCATACCAGTGTCTACAGGGCGTGCGTAAATTCACTCTGGTAATCTACCAAGAGTTCAGAGCACTCTGGTTTGAGCGTGTCCGAGCGTAGAATAATTGATGAATTTATGAATTCTTGTTGATATGACAGGTGCCAGTAAACATTGGCTAAAAAAACGAATTGAAATGTTGCCAGTAAGTTACAATCACTAACCCTCTTGATAACATGAAAATAATCTAACCAGCTCTGCAAAAGTGAATAAAATGGTCAGTGAACTGTTCTCACATTTAATTTGTCTTTAAAGTAGCTAGCAAGCTAGTCAATGTTAGCTTGGGTGCTTGACTGCTGTTATTCTTTTATTTCAAATGCACCCTGTATAATGCAACATCAAATACACATTATACACAGTGTTTGCGTACACACACAGAGTCATGGGAAGCACAAATAAAACATTACAAATCACCCAGAAAAACAGTTACATGCCTAAACCCAAACGGCACCAGACCATCAAAATGAAATGTATTTTGAATTTAGTTCTAGCAATACGGTGCATTAAAACAAAAAAGCAGATTTACCTAGCTCGGTGGAGACCCTAGGAACCTTGAGTTAACCAATCCTGTGAACGGGTTAGGCAACTCAGGTGTCAATACTTAAACAGCAAAATTAGATAAGACGGAAGTTTATGAATTAGGGCCTTGTAAACAAAAAGGGAGTAACGGGGAGATTTACGGGTCTTTAGCGAAGTCCAGCCAACCTTTTGATACAGGATGCAGTGATGAGTATCAAAACTAAGGGCACTATGGTAGATGGCATCCAAAGGTTTAAGAGTAGTAGCAGCTGCACTTTGATAAATAATATCACCATAATCAAGAACAGATTAAAAGGTTGACTGAATAATCTGCTTCCTACTTCTTAGAGAAAGGCAAGATCTGCTTGTCGAAAAAGCCAACTTTTTAAATCGTAGCTTCTTAACCAGCTCATCTATATGTTTAAAAAAAACGTCAAATCCATATCAATCCAAATGCTTAAGTATTTATATGCAGGAACATGTTCAATTGGAGAACCATATTTTACCTATATTAAGCACAGGTTTTAAATCGGCAAGGGATTCCTGCATAGCTATAAAATCTCACTGTAGTTTTTAACACAGCCAGATCAACAGTTGGGGCAATAGCATACATAGGATCATCCGCATATAGATGAAGTTTACAATTTTTAACAGATTAACCAATGGTATTTATATATAAATTGTGTAGAGAACAGGTCCCAAAATCGACCCCTGTGGTACACCTTTATATACTTCAAGAAATGCACTTAACCCTATCAATCACGATGGCCTGAGTTCTGTCACTAAGATAATCATGAAACCATGAACAGAGCTCAGGCCTATTGAGGACAACTTATTCAAAAGCTTTGACAGGTCCACAAACAAAGCAGCACATTTCATTTTAGTGTGTAACGTATTGACAAGATAATTAACAACTATAGTGGTTGCTGTAATAGTGTTATGCCCAGGCCTAAACCCTGATTGGTTTACATTCAAAATTAATTTATCAGATAAAAAAGAGCAAAGTTGTACTTTTACCAATGATTCAAGAATCTTAGCTAGACAAGGAAGCCTTGAAATAGGGTGATAATTATTAAGATCACTACTATCCCTGCCCTTATGGAGAGGCAGCACAATAACTGATTTCCATACTTTTGGAATATTTCCTGATAACAATGTTAAATAAAAAATGTGTGTTATTGAGCCAACAATGATGGGCGCTGCACACTTAAGCAGACCAGGATCCAATTGGTCGGCCCATGTGGATTTCTTGTCTATTGCTTGCAAAGCATCCAGGACTTATTTTTCTGTAAATACCCTAAAAGAAAAGCTTTGACTATCATTTCTCTGATCATTCAGCAAGTGTCCTCTATCAGCATCCAGCCCAATGTCATTGTGAATAGGTTTTGAGGTCAGAACAATCGGATCACTCCTCTGCCAGAGTGTCCAGTGTGCATTCTGAATGCTGCGAATGCAAAACGCTCTGAATTTACAAACAGATAATCTGACAACGCCCTGTATTTACTAACGGCCCAGAGCGCACACTGACACTCCAGAGTGAATTGACAAATGCACCCTACATATGGGAAAACGGTGCGTTTCTGTGATCTCTGGTTATAAAGATAAGAAGAAATGTCCTAAAAGTAAAGAAAAGTGATTTTTAAAACCTGCAACGAGTTTCCAGCCATAGGGAGGGTATTTTCTTGCTCCCAACGTCACCGCAAATCTGTGTGAGAAAATCACTGTTTTTACTTTTGATGTGATCGGGTAAAACATTTAAAACTTTATATATTTTAATACAAAACGTAGAAATGTGCCATTTTCACATAGACACTGGTATGGTTCTGGAGATAATGAATGAGGTTGAAAAGTGGTGGAAATTGACCTTTAAATGCAGTAATAGCCTGTTGAATTCTTAAAGGGGAACTGCACCCGCTGATTTGGCCTCATTTTTTGGCTTGCTCCTCAAGAAATTCTGGCGGCCATGACAGAAGCCAAACGTGTGTTGGCTTGGGGGTGTGGTTTGATGTGGGTGTTTCTTGGGTGTGTCCTTGCCACCACCAAGACACACCCATCTGTCAGAACCTTGCCCGCAGCTGGGAAAATAAACCCTTTGAAATGTTATGCACATGCTTGTGAATTGTTGTATTGTTGAAGGGTATAGAACAAGCTGGCCCGCACACTGTTAAAGCTCCCAATTCACCGCTTTATAGACAACATTTCGATCCGAAACGGATCTTCGTCAAGTCAAACAAACAAACTGAGTGCTCACATCCCAAAATATACACATTTCACCTCACATGACCATTGCGGACATGACGCGTGGTGGGTGCAAAAACAATTGTTGTATCTATAATAATTGAATAACAATGAGGGTAGTAGTTCCAGAAAATAGTGACATATTCATGTAAGAAATGGTCTGATATCAAACTCTTGGTTCAGACCTCTAGGATACAAGGTACACAAATGGTGAATCCAATACAATTCTCTTCTCAATAATAGATTATCATTATTGAAGGGTTTCATGGCTTAGATGAGAAGCTGCTCGCATAGCATTCTAGCTTCCGAACTACTGTGATATTTAAGGTACTTTGGAGGTGTGTGGCGAGAATGTAGCATCGCCAAATCCAAATTAAGTGTAGCTAATGTAAACAGAAAAGTAGAATATCGGGAGATGAGCCTAAGGGACTGATCTGGCTTCAGATTCTCAAACCACTTCCATAGGTAGCTGGGGACACTTCTACACCACACCCCTCTCTGAGGGGAATTGTGTAAAGAGTGTCTCTCTGAAGCCTTGCAATAAATGCCATAATACCAGTTGACAGCATTTTGTTGTACACTTGTGAATGCATTATTCAAGTGTGCAATAGTTTAGATGAGAAACATTGACTAACTAGCCTACTTTTGTTTGTCTATATATGCTGAATGAAAATATAAAGGCAACCATTTCAAAGATTTTACGGAGTTACAGTTCATATAAGGAAATCAATCAATTGAAATAAATTCATTAGGTCCTAATCTATGGATTTCACATGATTGGGAATAAAGATATGCATATGTTGGTCACAGATACCTTAAAGAAAGTAGGGGCGTGGATCGGAAAACCAGTCAGTATCTGTTGTGACCACCATTTTGCCTCATGCAGCGCGACACATCTCCTTCACCTAGAGTTGATCAGGCTGTTGATTGTGACCTGTGGAATGTTGTCCCACTCCTCTTCAATGGCTGTGCGAAGTTGCTAGATATTGGCGGGAACTGGAACACGCTGTCGTGCTCGTCGATCCAGAGCATCCCAAACATGCTCAATGGGTGACATGTCTGGTGAGAATGCAGGACATGGAAGAACTGGGACATTTTCAGCTTCCAGGAATTGTGTACAGATCCTTGCGACATGGGGCCGTGCATTATCATGCTGAAACATGAGGTGATGGCGGCGGATGAATGGCACGACAATGGGCCTCAGGATCTCGTCACTGTATCTCTGTGAATTCAAATTGCCATCGATGAAATGCAATTGTGTTCGTTGTCCGTAGCTTATGCCTGCCCATACCATAATCCCACCGCCACCATGGGGCACTCTGTTCACAACATTGACATCAGCAAACCGCTCGCCCACACAACGCCATACACGGTGTCTGCAATCTGCCCAGTACAATTGAAACCGGGATTCATCTGTGTAAAGTACACTTCTCCAGCGTGCCAGTGGCCATCGAAGGTGAGCATTTGCCCACAGAAGTCGGTTACGACGCCGAACTGCAGTCAGGTTAAGACCCTGGTGAGGACGACGAACACGCAAATGAGCTTCCCTGAGATGCTTTCTGACAGTTTGTGCAGAAATTATTTGGTTGTGCAAACCCACAGTTTCATCAGCTGTCCGGGTGGCTGGTCTCTGACGAGTGAATGTTAGTGATGGAGTGATGAATCACGCTTCACCATCTGACAGTCCGACGGACGAATCTGGGTTTGGCGGATGCCAGGAGAACACTACCTGCCCCAATGCATAGTGTCAACTATAACGTTTGGTGGAGGAGGAATAATGGTCTGGGGCTGTTTTTCATGGTTAGGGCTAGGCCCCTTAGTTCCAGTGAAGGGAAATCTTAACGCTACAGCATACAATTACGTTCTAGACGATTCTGTGCTTCCAACTTTTGGTAACTGTTTGGGGAAGTGCCTTTCCTGTTTTAGCATGACAATGCCCCCGTGCACAAAGCAAGGTCCATACAGAAATGGTTTGTCAATCTGTGTGGAAGAACTTGACTGGCCTGCACAGAGCCCTGACCTCAACCCCATTGAACAACTTTTGGGATGAATTGAAACGCGTGCCAGGTCTAATCGCCCAACATCAACAGTAAACAACAGTAATTGTGTGAT